TGCACAAAACAGTAACAAATAGGTGACACTGAGAGAAAGTTTTAATCAAAATGACGGATTTGAGGATTAATGTTTTCCATGTTTGCATTTGTCAAATTCAACAGCATAAAGCTAGCTTGAAAAATAATCCTTCAAACAATGCCCTCAATGAAGGCCTGTGCCAGGGAGGGCTCACCTTGGCGCACAAGATGTAAACTGCAATTCCCAGCATGCTCAGCAAGCCCAAACCACCTTCTATGTTGTGGTTGACTACAATTCCTTTATCATAGATTCTGTAATAATGATATACGGAGATGAATGCAGAAGGCTTAGCGTAATTCTTTTATGTAATTTTATTATAGGCTTTTGCGTAATGTACAAAGTGGCCATTGCTCGATAGCAGTTGCTTAATCAGACTCACATTTTAAAATGGTTCCTCCAATTTGTTTGTCAGTTGTTTTGCAATGTCTGGGACACCAACTTTGCAAAATCAGAAAGGGGCTAAAGGTTATGTCCAACAGAGGTATTTCCTTTCAGATGTGTTAGGAAACAGAGAAGGCTAGCAAACCACACATATACACAATCCTGTAACCCTGTACTCTACCAGCCTCAACCTGTAATCCCACACTGCCCCAGCCTCGTCATGTAACTGTACCTTCTACCTTGCCTTAACCTGAAACCCTGCACTATGCCAAGCCTATTCTGTAGCTTGTCTCTCAGTGGGTGTGCTGTGCGGTATTGCAGAGATAGAACCTTGCAGCTTATCTCCGTACCCATATTATTCTGTAGCGCGACAAGTGCTTGGCTGTGCAAGCAGGTGGCCAACAACTGACTTTTTCCACGTGAATGCACAGATTGAAACAGGATAGAAAAAGGGTCAGTCCAGGAACGCAGTAATCTAAAGCAAGAATAACTACTATGCATAACTGTACTTGGGCTCGGTACATGCTATTTTGTGTGGATAGTGACAAAGAGGTCATTTATATGTGGTTCCGTGTAGATCTATTCAGATGTGAAATTACTAGGTTGACCTACCAAAGTTAGATCTGCAGCCACACACTAAACCCTGATTAGGTATCTCTGTTATCTTTTGGGACTTTGACTTTGAATGTCACCAGTAAATAGTATTCATTAAGGATGAAATTTGCCCCAGATGACAACTGCAGTGAGTTTTAAATCAGCTGGTTGTGTTTGAATGGTTCATGGCCAAGTTGGGTAGAAAATATGTCCCAGGACCTTCTCAAACCAATTCCTTAGTGAGCTGCTAATGAACTGTCATTTTCCACAAGTGGTTTATCTTGTGGAAAGTAAAACAGCAGCAGGGAAGTTAAGCCCAGAACTTAAGCCACTGAAAACCTAAGTACCAAAAATAACAATTTTCCAAGCCTTCTACTGTGGGGGTTAAAAAGGTTCACTGTCTTACCCTGGAATTAAATTGACTTAAGTGAAGAATCATCTTGATGTCATTTTGAAGTCAAACCCTTATCTATATACTAGCCTACAACTTGCCATTTTCTACCTCTTCCCAAGTCTTATTCTTTAACTGAGCCATCATTAGCCTAGTTCTACAAGTTAGCCTCTACCTGGTTACACATTGTAACACGGAACACTGCTGATATATTGGGTAAAACATTAGATATATGTTAATGAACATGGTGCCTGTTTTAACCTGTAACATAGCACGTTGCTCCTCTACTGGTATCTATTTGCATTTTGCTCGCACAGCTCCCCTCGCTCTCTCTAGGCTGATCCTATATCCCTGCATGCTCTCGCTCGGCTTATTCTTTGCAGCACACGCTGCCATAGACCAATTAAATATCAGGACTAAGAGCGGAGTCACCTTCCAAAACCACGAACAATCCATAGACCCAGCAAATGTCAACGCAGCTTTCCTTGCAATGTGAAATAGCTGCGATGACAGTAGACTGCTTAATATTTCATAGAGGAGAACCTGGCTGTGCATTTCCGTGGGAAGGGGGTCAAATGGTTTTACTCGGGTTCCTTTGCTCACTTCCGAGATATCGTTTAACCCCCTTCCCACAGAATGCATCTGTGCTTTAAAACCCGATTAATAAAACATTAAACCTACATCCCCTGCAGCCATATTACACAAAGTGAGGCTTGAAATGCATCACTGTTGCCACAAACCAAAAGGAAGGGCTCTACAAAATAAAGGTCACAAAAGGGTTAATTGGAACTAGAACAAGGGGAGTTTACTGCATGGGGCTATTACAAAAAACAAATGCAGTGTATGCAAGAAAATGCAGAATCGGGTTTCTTTGATAAAATGCATTGATTTCCACGATTAGTAACAATGCAAAATGTCTAATACAGGCAGCACCAAACTAAATAAAAAACATGCTCTTAAATAGAAAATGTGATCTGAAAAATAAATGTTTTATTGTTTCTAAAGCTCACCTTACAGCAATAGAATTATATGCAGGCTAACGCTTATTTTCAATGAAAGAAAAAAAAAAAAATTCTTTGGAATTTGCTATATTTTAAAGATTTTAAACCAGAGGCATTGGAAATTAGAGCTCGTATTTACCATGATAAAAAAAAAAAAGCTAAACATTCCTCAGGTGATACAGGGCATCAGGTTAAGAGAGGACTTGGTTAGAGGACACAGACAAGCAAAGATTAGGTTAGAGGGTACGCACACACAAGGCTGGTTTAAAGAACACAGACAGTTGATGGATTGACTAGAGGAAAACGATAGGCAAAAGATTGGCTAGAAAACAAGGCCAGCCAAGGCAAGGGCTCCGTAGAAGCACAAGTCTATGCGTGGGCTCAGTTACAGAACGCAACTAACAGAGCACTTAGTAACTTAGTGAATCCAGTTCATAAGCTACTATAGATTTGTTTTAACATTTTATCACCAGTGTCAAGTGCATTTTCCCATAAGGATGTCAAAAACAAAATTGCACATAACCCTTGAACTTCACTTGAACCGTAGCTTACATGCAAAGCCATTCCTGAGCACTGACCCATAGCATGGTTATAGTTCTCTGTGCCTTGCACTGTACAGGTTAATTCCAAATAAAATTAGTTAGGAGATGGAGTGTGGAGATTATTATAATCGGGGCATTTACAGCAAAATATACAAAAAGATATTGTGATATTTAATGACACTCTGCTGAAAAAAAATATTCTTCACAATTTTCCTTTCTACTCTCAATAGAGGTTAATAATTTCAGTGCCAAAAAAGAGATTTGTACCATTTGTTTTAATTAATTACAAGGCAGTTCGGGAAAAGATTTTGCAATGCTGCACTGGTATACGTCTGGCCCAAACTATTCACTTTCCTGAAGAATCTCTACTTAATTGTGATATATTGTGCCCACTAAATCCATGAAATGTCTCAAGCAAACAATGAACTAATCAGGGTCCTAACAATAGCCACATTCAATCCATGACGTTTTGAGACAAAGGACGCTGCAGACGGTGACAAGTTTATAGCAATTCTTCAATTTTTCACAGATGGAGAAAATCACTCCTAAACGCAAAGTCTAATATAGAAAGTCAGATAGTAACCTCTGCAGTGCCAATAAAACCTTAATGCGCGCAGGGCAGGATTAAGGCAGGTATGTCACTTTCAGAGTCTTTGCGTATTTTACACAGCCCCAAGAAACTAAAAGAACAAAATTTGGTCCCGAGTATGCTGGTTGCAGTAGAGGTACGTTTTACTTACCTCTGGCTCTCCCTCGCAGCTGCCAACTTCATCCTGCTGTCCTCTTCTGCTCCTGGCGCTTGTGTACGTGCGAGAGTACAACACTGTAGTCTATGGAGGAACCCGTTATCTCCATACACAGTGCCTGAATTTGTGCCGGCTGCTTGGATTGGACAAAAGTTGACAGCGGAGTCACTACTTTGTCTTGTGGTATCTTTAGAATGTGTTGGAATTTCATTAAAGTTCCAATGCAGTCTTCATCTGTATTTCATAAAAAATATATCTTAATGGAATACTGAGAAATGACAGATCCACTGTAATAGAGCTTTAAAGATGCACATTCTTGCAGTCAGGTATTTGCAAAATAAACCTTTCTCATGATATTTCACTCAGATGTTTGTGAACTAAATTTTCCGTAAAGGACCACTATAGTGCCAGGAAAACAAACTTGTTTTCCTGGCATTATAGTGTTAATAGGTCCCCCCCACCATCAGGGTCCCACTCCTGCTGGGCTCAAGAGAGGTTAATGGGTTAAACACTTATCTCGCGCCGGGCTCCCTAGCGCCGGCGCAGGGGACTCTCCTCCATCTTCCGACGTCATCCGCCAAATGCGCATGCGCGGCAAGAGCCACGCACGCATTCAATCAGCCCATAGGAAAGCATTTCTCAATGCTTTCCTATGGACAGCAGTGTCTTCTCACTGTGAAAATCACAGTGAGAAGCGCCTCTAGCGGCTGTCAATGAGACAACCACTAGAGGCTGGATTAACCCTATTGTAAACATAGCAGTTTCTCTGAAAGTGCTAGGTTTACAGCTGCAGGGTTAACCCTAGATGGACCTGGCACCTAGACCACTTCATTGAGCTGAAGTGGTCTGGGTGCCTATAGCGGTCCTTTAATGGTCAGTCAACCGACATGGGACCTCCAAGTTAAACAATCACTTTTTTTAGTATATTAGGCACCATACATTTTTTCTGGCCTCTGCGTGGCATAAAGCCAGAAAAAATGTCCTATTATCTGAAGTTTGAAAATAGCTAGGGATCTACATTAGCCACTCTTGATATACTATGTCAGTGATGGCTAACCTTGACACCATAAATTGTTTCTGGACTACATTTCCCATGATTCTCAGCTAGCTTTTAGAGTCTAAATGTAGTCCAGAAACAATTTATGGTGTCAAGGTTAGCCATCACTGACATAGTACATCAAGAGTGGCTAAAGTAGATCCCTAGCTATTTTCAAACTTCAGCTAATACGACATTTTTTCTGGCCCTATGCCACGCAGAGAATAATGAAAACTGTAGTTCAACAACAGTTAGGGGTCTACCTTTAGGCCAGGGATAGGCAACCTTCGGCATTCCAGATGTTGTGGACTACATCCCCCATAATGCTGGCAAAGCATCATGGGAGGTGTAGTCCAAAACATCTGGAGTGCCGAAGTTTGCCTATGCCTGCTTTAGGCCAGAACTACAACTTTGGCAACTCTGTAATGGGTGCTTAGTATATAGTCCCCAATGTATATGCTGACTGTGTGTGATAGGAGATTTTGTGCATAGTTGCTCCAGGGCTACATGCTACCTTAAAGAGAAGAGTAAACACAAAGTGACAAAATATTTATCATCTTATTTTTAAATTTAAATCTCCATTTGACACCGCAAGCTATAAATGATTAGTGAGCATTGAATAAACAAAAGGTATTTAAACCCCATCCATGGAAACTCACAACTATGGTCATTTATAGGACAGTTAGTAAAATGTGCAAATTTCGATCATTAAAAATTTCATGCAGTGCCCTTGGAAAGAAAGACTGGATTATGCCGCTCAGTACCACGGCACAAGGAGACGGTTCGCAATGAAAAACAAACATTAGAGCGATGTGAATTTCGAGCAATTCATGTTTGGAATTCTGTGTTCTTTCCATGTACTGGCAAGTAGAGTGTTAACCCAGCCCCATCCCTAGGCTACAGGGGGGGCTGGGGTGCGGCAGGGGCTGTTTATTAGGAAGATGTGCAGAGATACAGTAACTGAGGGGGATACACAGACAGCTATTCATCGCCAGCCTTTTGATCTTGCACGATTGTGCCTGACAGAAGCTGCGTTTCCCTCGTTTAGCAAGAAGCAACCTCAAGAGCGTCTGATTGATTAGATGTCCCTCCTCCAAAGCCCTTTTATTCCACCAACCCCCCCCCCCCTCCGCCTCAAATCACTAGGACAGAGATCCCCCCAGGGAAAAGCACATCTCATTATACATCAAATGGCCGGCCAGCAGCGCACTGCCACATATTAAAACTTACTCCACTATATTCCAGCTATCGTAGCTGGCTTAACCCGTTCCAAGGCAAACACTGGGGTTTTAGATTTGAATGCAGTGCCAACATAGCCCACAGTGTTGTACAATGGGAGATCAGCCAGAGGCCATACCTGGATCTGTTAATTAAATGGTTTAAACCCCCTAAGGCAAGCTGACACAGCGCGACTATCATCAATATTACCACCCACCCAGCACCCCAGGGTACATAGTCCCCTAGCTGTAGATTGCTATAGTGTAGGCTGCAGGAATAGGCCTCCTACTATTAATGCTGCATGAATCCCATCATTCTTGGCTAGGTTTAGGGTGACAGAGGTGGACTCCAACAACAGCTGAAGGCCAGTGCTACAGAAGTACACAACCCCTGCTTGCAAATTGATTTATGCAAAGTTACTAGATGACGTTTCCCATGTGTTTTTGTTTGGCCTGTCTCATCAGTTTTCTGTGCAGGATAATGTCCCAGTTTTTCCTCAGTTCCTATGTATTACGAAAACAGATAAGCATTGGCTTTAACACGCTCCATCCACTAAGCAGTACATGAAGCGTGCTGCCTGGGAATATGAAGAATTCTTATGCTGTGGGGGAAAATCAAATCAATTTTTTTTTAAAAGGAGGGCTTAGTTAAACAACATTCGTCCGGCAACATATGAATGCCAAAAGATAGAACTTTTTTATCTATTATTCAACGACGTGTACAAGTGATGTGTACACAGGGACTTATGGTGGACCAGGCAACACAACGGACACTGCTGTGCTTATAACGTTTCCTGCCGAGGTTGTCGAGGGGTTAAGTAAGTGACAAGTGTTTTGTGCAAAATGAAAAAAAAAAGTTTTTTTAAAAAAGCAGAGGTATTATGTTTTATGAAGATACAAATGAAGATACATATCCAACAGGGCAAGTGCCACAGTGGACACCAGCCCAGCTTTTGTTGGAGTGTTCGTGAAATCTGTGCCCTGCTGGCCAAATTGTCCTCATCTTTCATTAATGGAAATCGGTGGAGTTGTGACTTAATGTTATCATACCGGCCACCTTAGCAGGTGTCTCCACATAGGTGGCCCAAAGTATAGACAGTCATTTCCTCCCTCCCCTTTCAAAATACTGGCCTTCCCATTTTAACGTATAGACACCTGGAGACCCTAAGGCAATATAAATGGTACATGAATTTCAGCCTGTCTGAAAACCACAGGAAGTCTCTGTGGGGCCTCTGCTAACACCCTTATGTTAATCAGTAAGACAACTGTCTGTGGCAGGTGAATGTGGATGTTGTTTGGCTTTTTTTTTTTAGCACTAATGGGTTTCTTTTTAATTCACTATGTTCGATCTAAGGAGCTAACCCCCTGAAACCGCACACTACAAATCAACTTAGTAAGTAACATACTTGAAAAGCTATGGAATAAAACATATGCAGGGATATTCTGCTGCAGGGATATCACTGCATGTTTGTGGACGTCTTTAGTAAATCATGCCTATAGAGCTGTACGTATATGTGTGCATTATAGTTTTATATTAGTAAAACACATAAAGATGACAAATACAGGTGGCTATAAAACATTAGGCAAGGAGGGCTCTGCTCAAATGAGTTTACAACACACAAACCAAAATCAATACAGATTACATATGAACATGATACTAAAGCAACATTAATCACATATGAGGAAAAGGTCTATTAACCCTTGACATACAAGCATGAGTTTAAAAACCTGGGACATATTCCAAGGAAACAACAGAGGGATAAGAAAGACTTACACGAAATCTGGAGATGCTAGCAGGTACAGGAGAGCATAATGTCGTCGTCGTCCCCCCCCCAATAAGTTTTAAAAGAGTACTAATGAGAATGATTACAAGGGCTCACTTTGCACAGTGGCACCCTGACTACACAAGAGTTAACCAAGGATGCTTAAGAAGACTGCAGAGTATGAGGCTGACTTGCATTCATATGTATCGTTGTGGCCACAAGGCCAATGTGTATCCCAAATCCTTTTTACGGTATTAGACGATCATCTCCAGCAGGAGTCTGTTCTTGAATGACTCTTTCTGTAAAACAGTTCTTAATTGCAGACCAGGTGGACATATATCTGGCTTTAAAGAATTACCTTTTTACATATATTTTTTTTTGGGGGGGGGTAAAGGGGGTAACATGTTTTGCCCTATATCGAGAAGAAAAAAAAAAAAACGGTTGAGAGAATTTTAATGGAATTCATCCTCGAATACACCAGGTCAAATGTTTATCCACATTCAATGCCACTTCTACAGCCAATTTAAACCGGAGAACCAATACAATGCTGTATAACACATGCGGTTAGCCATTCAACTGGGAATTCAGGAGAACTGACAAGAGGATTGCAATTATTAGGCAAAAATAACACAGCTGCGACAATGCTCAATTTCATCCGCTTTTTAGCACTGCAATTTTGGCTTAGAATTTGCAAGTCCCTTGTCACTTCTTCACACTCCCCAGTTTATGAGTAACCCCAGCAATGTCTGTGTCGGAGACCTTCTTAGTAAGATAGTACTAGATTTGGCAGAGATAATTAAATAGAGCCACCACGTTCTTTGGAGCAGCTCATTTTCTTTACCTTCCTTTTAAAATGACTTGCCAATAACACCCCTAAATGCCAGTTTAGAAATTGAAATGTTTATTTTGGATACATTTTGAATACTTGCATGTTTCATTGTGTCGCTATAACACATTATGATATAGTCTCTTTCCTAATCTTATTCACTATTAAGTGCCTCTGTAGAACTCGGCAGGCATTTGGACATTTCAAAATTTAGCTGGCCCAATTTCCATAGATATGACATTACATTTTGCAGCTTAGTCTTAGTCTTAAGATATTTAGGTGCCATCAAATGCAGAAGCCTTGCAAGCTGGTCTGAGTATATTTTTGAATACCCAAAAGGCCTATTAATCCGACATTTATGAGTGAGAGAGAGACTATAGCATTTCATGGTTCTGTAAGTAAAGATTACCTTTGATTTCAGTTCCACAAAGCTAACTCTTTCACAGTCACATGACACTGCTCAGATTACACCCCTAAAGTATTAAATGGAAGCAGTCGAGGTGGGTCTGTTTCTTCCTTGTGTTTCATAAAAACGCCACGATTTGGCACGAGGCTCCCAGATGTGATTCATGTAAGTCCTTGCACCTTGACATCTATGTTTTCTTCAGCTTACTGCATTTTTTTCTTCCTGAAGGAAATAGGTTGATATGAGACATAAAAAACCTAGACTGACAGCCTGTCCTTGGTGATCTGAAGTCAGTAGATCAATCAGTGCACGACTCAAATGACCGTATAGTCTAGCTCCACGCAAATAGCTCCCATATTTTGACAAATGCTTCCTAGTCTTTCGAATGAGGATCATCAATGTCCATATATAGAACCTAATTCTTACCTTTCTTAACAATCAGGCTACATCTCATCCTCCGTGTTTAAAAGACCAAACAGCAAAGTTGCCCTCTGAAGCAGAGCTTCCTCGCAGACTATTTATGGATGTAAAAATTGAATTACGTGTACTGACCACTCTGGATACAAATAAATGAAGTTTTATTAGTCTATCGTGTACTACGGTTTCTCTGTCCCTACTGGAAACGTTAACAAACCATACATAGATCATGTGTGCAAAATAGGACAACACCGATAGAACCAGCAAGTAGTGGGCTTTGTGTCTGTAATGCAAGTGGAAGAAAACCTGATACGGCAGGTCTGCTTACGCTGCTGCCTGCAACAATCTAAGCCCAGGTGGCCTCTCTGGTCTGCGTTCAGCTTGGTACCAGCACTTCGTCTTTTCCCAAAGGATGAGATTTAGGAGCCGAAATCTAAAACCGGGATTGTCTAAGCCCTTGCATTATAACTGGAGCCATCTGGCGATTCCACTAATTATACTATGCTGTGAACTTGTCAGTGGGAAGGAAAAACGAGTATACTTTATATTTTCGAGGATTTAAAAAGGGTTAATGCAGTGAAGTTGGCTTCAAGAAACATTGCCTAATGGCAGCAAGCTTGGATTAATGATGCTTATCCGAAGTGGACCGTGTCAGCCCCCCACCCTCCCCCAAGTGCCTTCTTATATAAAGAAAGATTTGGTGTCCTTGGACAGACTAAAGTGTACTCCATCTAGTTTCAGACT